CCTCCCTCCAGCACCTATGAGGGAGACTAACATGACAGTCCGTAGTAAGAAAGTGCAATACCTACGGATCCTGCTGCCTCTCACATACTACAGGCTCAGCTTACAAGGTTTCAAGAGCTATTGTATTATGCAGAGTCAAGATGTTACCTTCTCTACCCAGGCAAACTTATTTTAAACAAAAAATGCCATTCTGCAATCTCCTATCCTAGAACAGTTTCCAATCCTTAGCATATTTCAGAACTGTGGGGTATATACTGTTTTGTAGTACTTGTTACAACCTGGTGCTACTGACAGCTTGTTTTACACATGGTTAGAAATATTTTCGTAGAAGTCTCGCTGGCTATTATCTTTCAGGCTATGGCAGGAGCTTAACTAAACTTGATTTGATTTGCTGTGCTCCTTTTTTACTAAAATACTTGAGACAGATGTGACCTCCAGTAGCCTTCTAAAGTTAATCCCCCCACCCCTGCCTTCCCAGTGACTTCACTGAAACTCCAGCCAAAATTTAGAGAGCCTTCATGCTCTCTGCAATCTTACTGTACTCTTGGTAGTATACAAAGTAGTAAGAAAAAACTGAAACGCTAAGCCAAGAAGTATCTCCCAGTGGAAATGCATTTAACAAAATTTAACAAAGTAACAGCATGAAGAATGAAATTTTTTAGCTTTTAGCATGTCTCTTTGGCTTTCTGTCTGCTGACTTCTTTTCTTCTGTTCCCGATTCTTGGACAGGTAGCCATTTCAGAGGATTGCGGCGGTACATAGGCCATGGAGGGAGTGTTAGCTTAGAGAAAAGGAATTAAGTCAGAACATGTAAATCAATATACTAGATAAGTGTTTTGTACAGCTTGTTAGAAAGATCTCATTCCCTAATAATTGTACCAATTAGTCTTAAGAAAGTTCATACAGTTTCATACTATAAAGATACATGCATATATATATCTAGTTTACATTGCATACTGCATAGTCATGCTTAAGCAAGCATGACTAAAGGACCCCAGCTCATTGCAAGGAGGAGGATGACAGCGCCCACCCTGAAGAAAAAAGGATACCCCTGGACTACTGAGGTAACATCAGCATCCAAGCCCCTCTAACACCTCTGTGAAATCCTCCCATTATCTGGCACCATAGATAAGTAACTGTAGCAAGACTGACTCCAGGGACGTTTAGAACAAGAAAGAAGCAGATGGATGATGATGCCATAAAATTAGAGTGGCTTTTCAAAACGGTAGCACGTATGTCAGTACTGACTGGTTAAATCATGTTGTACCTGAACACTTGAAAGGTATAAGAACTACGTGTAAAACCATATTTGGTGTGCCCCACTTGAAACGGGACACCTCATGTGCATGAATAAGGAATTACTCTTGTAATTCTATACTTTGTGTCCTAGCCTCTTGCCTCGGTAGGCATAGGCCAGCTGCAAAATTTTCATGACAAGGTACTACTCCACAGAAAGCCTCACTGTCCTTTCTGTTATCAATGCTATCAGCTTGACTTAAAAGTAACATTTAATTGAAATCAAAAACTTAATTCAAAAGCAGTACTAAATTGCAGTGTTCTCTAAAAATTGCACTAGTGTTTGAGAAAAGGCACTTACTGGCTTGTAAAGTGCCTTCTAAAGATCAAAGAAAGTACAAATATGTATGAACGGTCTGAATTCTATAGCAAACATTTGTCTGTGCTAACAGCCCCTTAATTTACGATTCTTTCAGGTTAAGTACTGCATGTATTTTCTGGTTTGGGGAAAAAAATTTCGTACCAAACACGATAAAGCAAATCCAGCCATAACTATGTAGACAGTCCATCCAAACTGCTCAGTTATGTATCCATAGATGAAACCAATTATCTGCAAAAAAGAAAAAAGAAAAAATCAAACTAAATAAACAAATACATTTCCCGTGTCATGATTAAGTGGGGGGGCAGGGAGGGAGAAGTTAAGTAGAAAAATAGCGATTTTTCAAAAGCACAGTTCGTGTATCTTTCTATCCTTGTTTTCAAAATTGTAGGCCAATAATGCAAGTAAAAGACTGAAAGAAGAAAAGTCTTAATCCATGACAGCCCCTCTGATTTTGCCTAAAGCTTTTAGTGATCCAGTTAAGCCAAACAGTCAGAAAAAGCCTTTGTTTGAAAGATCAGAAACCAAAATAAAGTCGTTTGTTATTGCCCACAGTTCTAGTATACTTACTGCAGAGACAAGAATGATTCCTTGAAAAATCTGTTCTGCTAATTTTTGGCCCTTGTAGTCCTGTGGAAAGAGATTTTTTTTGTCAATTGCCCAAAACACAAACCTACCAGTTAAACTCTTCCAGGTTAGAGCCTAGACTCAGCCTGACCACGGGTTCTCAGTATTTTTGTTCAACTTTCAAACCTGACTGGAATTTTTCTTACAGTGTCTGGATTTCAAGTGTAAAAGAATTAAGATCTTAATTCACTTAATACCTCCCCTACAGTCTTGACCACATCATCTAAAAATAAAAGCAAGCACTGTCTGTTCAGGGTAAGTAATGCGAGTTCAAAATATTGTAGTTAGCTTAATATCACTATGTAAAAGCCATAACACCACAAAAGAGATTATATGCTTGAGAGGATATGATACGTATGTCACCTGTCTTTGCATAAGTTTAGAAAATGTGGCTCTCGATGAAAACACTTTGCCTTCTAGCTGCATATAGCACAGACAGAAAAGTATAGAGTGGTTTCCCTTGCACAGCTGTATATTACCTTCATTTTACAGCACATTAAAGCTCGAATTTTCGGACAAAAAAAAATTCGAAATTACACGGAGTACCGCCCCTCAGCCCCAACAGCAGTTCCTCACACGCAGGTACCAACACCGCAGGGAGGAAGGGGAACGCTAAAACCCACACGGAGCCATGTCGCCAGTAGCAACAAGGGGACGAGGGCCCGGGCACGGCCAGGCCTTCCGTGGCGGCTACCCTACCATCTGCGTGGGGATGGAGCGGAAGACGTTCAGCATGGCGGCGGCGGGCAGAGACGCCTCACAGTCCTTGTCCTGCTCCTTGTCGTAGTCGCCTCCGTCTTCCTCGTTCTCGTCAGGGCCCTGTAGCGGCTGCGGGCTGTCCGCGTCGCCCTGCGAGGCGGAGGCGGCGGGCCGGCTT